AAAAAAAAAAAAGGATGTAACTAAGTCAAAATGAAGGAGCGCAGGGATAAGTGTGCCAAATCGAGGGAACATGAGGTGCAAAGGCAGTGGGAAATCCATGACGCAGAGTGGAGATCGGCTGGACAGGCAAGAGCCGGCACGTATGAAACGGGGCTGGCACGTACGAAACAGGGCTGGCACGGCAGGCAGAGGCAGACCACATGGGGCCTCGTGGGACCACGAAAGAGTACGTTTTCATCATAAGAACATTGGGAAGCCACTGGACTGTGACATGATGGGTTTATAAAGACCTTCCAAGTGAGGTATGGAGAACAGATGGAGGGGGGCAGGAAGTGAGGAAGACGAGGAGGTCTGGAAGACCCAAGTCACCCAGGAGTCCCGCGAAGTTCCTGAGAACAATGATCACGGACATTAAGCAGCTTGGGAAAGGTTTCTAGAATGCAGCTCCTCCAGCCTGAGACACCGGTACCCTTGCCAACTTTCCCAGATCCACTGCAGGATCCAGGGAAGAGGTTTCAGGGGCCTGATCCACAGTGGTGGCAACAAGGGTGGAGAGAGCCCGGGCTGCCCACAGCCACACAATCAGGATGCCAACAGAGCTGAGACGCAGAAACCTAGGCCTGTCTGACTTCAAAGCCCCCGCTGCTCTTTACCTTGCTATTTATTCATTCATTCAACAATTTCGTTACTAACCCTCTACTACGTGCCAGGCCTGTGCCAGGTGCTGGGGACAGAGCCACAAGCAAACAGACACGCTCTCACAGGGCTGACAGTCTAGGCATTAAACGAGAACACACACAGATGTATACAGTTACAAACTGGGATGTGTACTGCGAAGGAATAATAGTGTGATCAGAGATCTTCACAGGAAAACTATCTATAAGGCCACAAAGATCTTCCTAACTGTTGATGAAAAGAAAAAAGCCACTTGCCAGCCTACGTGTAAGTGAAAGACTTTAGGAAACTTTCCCTCTCAGAGCTGGACACTGAGCATCTATGGCCGGCTCATAAGCCCTCAGGGAGAAAGCTGGTATGTCTCAAGTCCTGCACAGACCCTGTCGACATACAAGTTTCTAAAAGTCTCGCTCACTCCTTAATACACTCACATATCTCAATCACAGGCACCCCTCACTTAGATGTGGACAGCATTTTACAGTTAGTTGGGATCTTTCACACAGATCCACTCATTTGACCCTCACGGCAGCCCTATGTAGAATGCAAGCAGGTTATGACATCCTACTTGGGAGAGGAGCAAGTTGAGGCCTAGACAGGTAAAGTGACTTGACCAAGGCTGCCATTGACCTAGGAAGGCACCCAGATCTGCCACCCAGATTTCACTAGAAGCATCTCGGGCCAGGAAATCAGGACTCTGGGATGAGATGGCTGCAGGTCACTGAGCCTGGATAAAGTCACCCAGGAGTCCCGCGAAGTTCCTGAGAACAATGATCAGGGACATTAAGCAGCTTGGGAAAGGTTTCTAGAATGCAGCTCCTCCAGCCTGAGACACAGGTATCCTTGCCAACTTTCCCAGATTAGAACAGGTTCTCTTGGACTCTTTCCAAGTGCCTCTGACTAACAGAGAAAAGTATTTTTCCATCGCAAACACTGCAGGCAGGCACCCGACTCCTGAAGTGGGAGGGCAGAGACCGCATCCCAGATGCCCATACAGACTAGCTGTAAAATTATCCTGACACTGTGTTAACTGCCCTAGCTAAGCACCTACCACTGGGGATGCAGGGCAGTCTCGGGCGTCACGTCTCAGTGTTGGCAAGACTACCATTTGGGACTAGGTATTTCTTTGTTGTGGAGGACTCTCCTGTGCATTGCAGGAGGTTCAGCAGCATCCCTGGCCTCTACCAACTAGATGTCAGTAGCGCCCCCAAGCTGTGACAACCAAATATGTCTCCAGACACTGCAAACAATCCCTGGGGCACAAAATGGCCTGGGGTTGAGAAGCACTGGTCGAAGGACTGTGCAGAATGGGGGAAAGCAGAGTCCACTCCTCTTTCTCTTCTCCTAACCCACCCCCTCCCATCCCATCTAACTGGACAGATAGATGGCCAGTGTGCAGAAATCCTTCTTTTAATCAATATCACACAACGAATGCCTTCCAGAATGAGCCTGAGAGCAGGCTGCTGGTGTGGCCTGCAGGTAAGTCCCAGGAGCAATTCACCACTGGCGCTTGTAAAAACAACCAGAGCCAAATAACTCCTTGTTCCACTAATGAGCTGCCTCTGACCCTGTGAGCAAATCTTGTTCCCATTAATATGAGCAGCTGAGTCTGACTGAACTGGAAGCCCTGGGTGTTTCTCCCCTGTGACGCTGGGCCAGGGCAAGAGCTTCTCCGGCTGCTAGAAGGCGCACCAAATCGGTGAGTCAAAGAGCAGGAGACTCCCATTTACCCAAATTCGGTACAAGAGCCAGGACCCTCAGACACCCCAGCTTACAACCGTTCTGGACTGAGGAGAAAGGGGAAAGTGACAGAGTACATAAACAAGAGATCTGAATTAACAAATTAAACAGCTGAAGCATTACCGAAAAGCTTACTGTGAAGTGGGGATGGTGACGGGAAGCCGAGCTCTAGAGCAGCTGAGGTGACTCAGACAGGGTCAGGGCGGTGGGTTCCAACCCCCGACCCCGAGGGTGGAAATCGGTGTCGGTTACAAGGCTACACGGCGAGCACCAGAGAAGCAGCGTCTTCGCGTCTGTCGTTCATCAGCCACCTAACTAGTGAGAGGGTTTGTGACACACTCAACCAAACTCACTGCCATTCGGTGGTGAGTGTATTTGACCGCATGGTAGTTCTGTGAAGACTGACTAACCATGAAACACCCACCTGTTAATACCCAGTTACTCACACTCCTGCTCCTTTCTATGCCCCTTCTGCATGCTGAACATAGCTGTCGCTGCATGTCTCCGACAGCAATGTACCGAAACTGGATAACAGGTCGGTCTCCCCCGGTGGCCAGCGGGCTCCCTGAGGGCAGGGTTTATATCTATACAAGGTGTGATACATAAATAGATCCCCACCATTTGTATGATGGATGGACGGACAGACATATGGATGGATGGTAAAGTCTTCCATGTCTATATTCATACACTCAGGCCTGTCTACACGTTCTGGGGAGGGCATAGCCCAGGTCTTTTCTCCAACGCTCACCAGATTGCTCAATAGGTTCCCGATAAACAATAACTGATTTGGTTGGACTCGTGAATACAAAGAGACAAACTGAAGCCTTCTGTTCATGAACCAGTGAGACCAAGGAAAGAGGTCAGAAATCCTCGCTGTCTACCTTGACTCATGTATTTGAAGATATTTACTCTCTTTTAACTAGAATGTAAAGATACAGAAGTGAACAAGACTAACATGGTGCTATCCCTCACAGAGCTCACTGTCCAGGTAAAAGGCAAATATTAACAATTGTACAAATGCACAATTACTGTGCTTAGTGAGTCTCCTTAAGAAGAGTTTCTGTAGCTAGTCCCAATCTTCTAGCAGTCTGAACCTCTCTGAGGAAAGTCATGATTTTCCCCTTTAGAGAATCCTCTGAAGTGGTCAATATGGAAAGTTTATTTTACACCTTTGTTATACAGGCCTCTGTTCCAAAATAGTCATAAAATTTTTTAAAAGACCAATGAAAAGCCTCATAGATATGAAGACTCACAAGTGTATGTCTGTGTGTTCCAATGTGTAGTAGGTGGGACTTGCCAGGGATAACTGAAGCGGACCTGAAAACCTACAAAAAACAGAAGCCACTGAAGTAACTAACAGTCACTAGGTAGGTATTTGGGAGTCTGGAGATCTGTGTGCAGCTAACAAGCAGGTCAAGGGCAGGCAAGGAGACTCCTGAGAACCCCTGAAGTTCAGGAGGCTCTGACATGATCATAGATCTTAAGAATTACAAATGGCCTGTCTGGGAAACTCTACGTAAGTCAGCAGAAACTCTAGGAAGGCAGGGAAGAAGAGCGGCCATAAAAAAAACAAGCCCAGAGAACAAAATCAGCAATATGAAGACCACAAAAGGAGATGTGCCCTAAGGGAAAGATAAGAAATAAATACAGACTCAAGAAAAGATAAAGATGCCAAAAGCTGGATGGCATGGCACCATAAGGTAACATCTGAGAGGATATATGGGATGTCTGAATCAATGTATGTGGTTTGTTAGGGTTAATGGAAATGTAAATCAAAATATCATTCCAGCCATGATTCAAAGTAATGCTCCTGCCTCGATCTTGAAATATTAATCTTTAAGTTTCGGAAGCTTTTAATTTAGACTCAGGCGAAAATGCAAGTAGAGTCATCTCTTTAGCTAGGACAAGGCAAAGACTCCCCAACAACCTGGACAAACTTCTGGGTGATGCTTGCTACAATGGGTTCCTTCTCAAAACCTCACGGATTCATAGGGCCAGAAAGAGTCCATCTAACCTAGCCTTGCCTCTTTGGGTGTAAACCTTTGATCCAGAGAGGAAATGCTCCATATCTGGCTGACTGCAGAACTCGATCCCAGATCCTCCCTGTCCCAATCCATAGAGCTTTTCATAGTAAAAACCCACTTACTTAGTCCTGAGCATTCACAGCTGTTTAGACAGCTGTCCTCCCATCCCTACCCTCACCCCCCGACCCCCACTGTTCTTACCAACCACAATTTCTCTGCTGCTCTCTCACCTGTCTGAGCAACCAGGTGTGTCCACCCACTCCAGACAGAAGTGACCTTTTCATTCTGAAAACAATGTGCTTCTATTTTCTGGGGCATAGGAAGAAAAGCAGCCAAGGAAGCCAGTAGTCCATGCTTGTTGCTTCCCCAAACATACAGCTCTCCTGCATCTTAAACAAACAGAAGAGGAACAAAAGAGGTGAAGGAACATTAGTTCAAAATGATGGGAAATAACACAAATCTGAAAAAAAAAGTGGTTAAGAGAAGTTGTATGATTCTTATGCTATGACGCTGAGTAGAGCAAAGCAGGATACAAAATTCATGCCTAGCATATTAACATATAAGTTTGTTTTTAATTCTATAAACAGGAAACAAGGCCAAATGTTCTTAGTTTGCCAAGGAATAAGAACGTGTAAGTTTATTTTTTCAATTCATTCAACAAATATTTATTGAACATCTACCACAAGAAAAACATGTTTCTCCATTTTCTCCATTTTTTAAAAAACATGCTTGCATTGCCTTTGGTTAGGAAAAATATGCATTAACTCTTTAAAGTAACAGGTTAAAAGATATATTATTTAAGCGTAAACTTTTCAGACCCAAGATTATCTTACAACATGTCCTGTCCAGCAGAAAACAGAATGCTGCTACCTCCCATACACACAGCACTATAGTTCATTTGAACTTCGTGGTAGTCCCAAGGTATGAGCAGGAACGCCACTGACTGACACTGTGAATTAACAGAAAGAAAGCAAATTCACAGTCAAGTGACTCTGGCTTCTATTCCTGGACCTGCTAACCAGCTACTGACCTTGGACAAATCACTTCCTAAGCCTTAGTTTCACCAGCTGAAAATCGGAGGGCAGGGCGGATGGCCTCGAAGGGCAGACCATGTAACTGATGACATGGGCCACAAGAGAGACTGGTGGGCCACAGCGGCAAGCCACAGGGCACATGCTTTTCTAAAAGGCATTCAAGTTCAAAAGCATTTTTAACTGGAAGCCAGACCAAATGGAGCCATGAGCTACACAGTTTGGCCCGTGAACCTACAGTTTGTGACTCCCTGACTGATCTCTAAGAGCTTTTCCAACCAACCCTGACATCCCACATTTCTACACTGTACCATACAGCACACAGCACACACACATGGCCCCGAACGCCTGAAATGTGGCCAGTCCAAACTGAGATATGTTGTCAAACAAAAAAAGCACAACAGATTGCAAAGACATAGCACAAAAAAACCCAAAAACAACATAGTTTCTTAATAATCTTCATACTGATTACTGGTTGAAATAATATTGTGGGTATATCAGGTTAAATAAAATATATTATTAAAATTAATTTACCTGCTTTTTACTTTTTGAAATGTGGCTCACATATTTCTATTAGACAGCATTCTTCTAGAAGCTAAATTAATCAAGGCTTGGAGATGTTAAATGACTCTCAAGATCACATGGCTAACAGAAAGCCAAGTCCTCTGCTTCCAACTGCGTTTTGTGACCTCCCAGAAAAGTTTTCCAGCATTGCTTGCCATAGGGAAGTCTCGTATAAAGCCAAACAGTATCATTAAAGGACATCAGACCAAGATTCAGGGTTCCAGTCCGTGCTACTCCATCGCCCTCTCACACCGGCGTATCACTTCACATTCCAGGTCTGTTTCATCAGGTCGAAGATGGGGGAGCGTAAGTCAGGGGAGCCATTCCGTCACTCAGTTGACCTTGTAGCACTGACATCCTGCGGTTCAACGATGTGAATTTGGGGTACTTCATGCCCTGAGAGAGGGCAACCTCCATGGACTTCGCCAGAGTGTACAAAGTAGGAAGATCTCTTACAAGAGGGCAGAGAAGCCCCTCAGGAAAGTCTCAACCCATTTAATGGACCGGTTGGCTACCGAGCTGCTACTGACGGTGAGCCCGGGTCTGTAATAAGCCTCCATTTATCTTAGAGAGTCTAGGCCAGCTTTTTGCAAAGACAAACTGTCTTCCACATGCGGATCATTACACTGTTGCATCAGCAGGCAAAATTACATTCTGCTGCAATGCCAACTAGTTATATAACCTACCACAACTCCAGAGAGAAGGTCTAAAGAGCAATGAACAAAATCCAACATGTAACAGCTTGAACTAGACCAAGAAGGAGGGAGATTAATCTCGACAATTTTTAAGTCACTTTCAAAATATCAAAAACCAATTTCCTTTGTGAATATACTTTAAAAATCACTAAATTACACACTTTAAAGGGGTGAATTTTATATATGAGTTATATCTCAATAAAACAAAACACAACATCTGTGTTTTAAAAACACCATAAAAGGGGCGCTTGGGTGGCTCAGTCGGTTAAGCGGCTGCCTTCGGCTCAGGTCATGATCCCAGAGTCCTGGGATCAAGCCCTGCATCGGGC